GAATCCTATGGGACAGTTCTTCTCTGTCCTGTAGGGTCACTAGGTCAGAATCGACTTGAAGGCAATGGGTTTGTTTTGTTTATTTTTTAACCCTCAGGAAACTGTGAGAAAATAAATTTCTGTTCCTTAAAGCCACTCACTTGTGGTATTTCTGTTACAGCAGCACTAGGAAACTAAGACAATGACCATGTAAAGACACAGACAGAGATTGGACCCTGGTCTCTGAGAATCATCTCTGTTCCTGCATTATTTAAAATGGTCAGAAAATGATTTGGAAAGAGGTTATACTCAGACACCTTGAACAGGTAAGCCTTCAACCCTCTGCCACCCAAGCTGTGTGTTTGGGAGGAACATGCTCAAAGCCACAGCAGGTCCTCAGGTCTCCCTTGGTTTTCGCTTTTTGTCCCACTCATGCATCTTTTAGCAGTCAGCCAGGACTGGATAGAGGCTTTATTATCTCAGCCTTTCATGACTGTCATTTCCGGGGTCTCGCCATTAAGTTTCTGGCTCATCTTCTACCCACCACAAACTGAGGCTACAACCTGAAGCCAGTAAACCTGCAGTTTTTCACTTCCTGTCTGAGACTGAGACCGCTGTTTTTAACCTGTTCAACTGCAGGTTTTCAATTTCCCTACCCTAGACCAGTCTGCCACCTCCAGCTGACAAAGCTGCTGCTGGTTTTCACTGACAGTCCTCAAACCAAGTCCACTAGTCTCTTGACTCAAGCTATGATTTTCATTGCTCCAGCTAAGGAGGGCCAGTAGAATCCCCAGGCAAGAAGACCACAGACTCAGGGCCATTCTATGTGGTAGTAGATAAAGATGAAAACACTTCTCAATTTTGTTGTCTGCCTTTGGTCATTTTCCAAATCAATGAAATGGTTGTTTTAAACTATTTTGTATAGTTTTATGCTTATCTTTTTCAGAGACAACTTGCCCAAACTTATCACACCACCATTCCTTAACTGAGTTTTGGGCTGGATTACTTCCATGTTTCTTTCACTCAAATATTCTATCACCCACAGCTTTTGACTTTGTTCGGAGATGCACTGATGTGAAGAGGCTGGTGTAAGGACAAGGAAGGGGAGCTGTGAATTTTGCATAAGTCACCTCAAATGTGCAAAAATAAATGGGGAGCCAGTGAGGCTGAACGCTGAACTGAGAGTCTCAGAGCTGGGGCCTGAGTCTCAGTCCAGCCCTGAGAGGATCTCAGAAGTTCTCTAACCATGTTCTCTGACAAGGAACACCCGTAGCCTCCTTACAGGTCTCACTGCTTCACAACTGCTCCCACGGGTCCTCTCCTGCTTCCCCTTGCCTGTCACATGGACTCTGTGACTCTCTGTGGGTGAAAATGGCTGAAATTAGCTTTCACTTCTGCTCACACATCCAGGATCCAAGAGCAAAGCTATTTCCTTGTTCTTGTCTGAGTGGCTGCTGGGATCCATTTGGTTTTATTTTTGCTTTTTTCCACCCCCTATCAGTTGCATGTGGTGGACATAAAGGTGAGGGTTTCTTTTCCAGACCACACAAAGGCCAGCATACCTGAACCTCCCCTCCCTCCAAACTGTCACATCCTTTCTGCTTCCAACCTTGAATTGTTGAGCCAGAGCCAGAGGGAAATGGAATTTCCCCCTTAAGAAGCAGAATTGCCTATGCCCCACTACCTTCTTTATGTCCTCAGGTCAAAGTATATAAAAGTTGTCCAAATGCCATGTGTTTAGGCCACACTGATAAAACATTAGTGGGAATTCAAGCAGTATCACAGGATCTTTGTCAGTGAATGTTCAACCCAGGTATCTGCCTCTGAGAGTTTACAGGATTCTTAGTCACAAGCCACATTCAAAGCCATCTCCCTGGTGTGGTGTGAAAGAGTTCATTGCTCCCTCCTCTGTGCTAATGCTGTGCCTTCTTGAGGCTTCTGTGGCTGCACTACCATACCAAACCAAAAACCAAACCCATTGCCATCGAGTCAACTGATGGCGACCCCGTGTGTTACAGAGTAGAACTGCTCCACAGGATTTTCTTGGTTGTAATCTTTACAGAAGCAGATGGCCAGGCCTTTCTTGGATGGATGTGAACTGCCAACCTTTAGGTTAGTAGTCAAGCAAACCATTTGTGCCACCCAGGGCACTTACCATATCCCAGTGTAAGTGTCTGTTTCCTAGACCCCCTTTTCTAAGCCCCCTTAGGCTGAGCCCCTAAGAGAAAAACCATGCTTATTTATATCTGTGTCTCCAGCCTCTAGTGTTGTGCTTGCCACAGAGAAGGTGTTCAGAGAAGTGTGTTATGTTAATTGAAGTAACAAGACTGAGTAATATCATATCAGTATCTTTTTGAATCATAAGTTTAAGGAGTTTGGGGATTCTTTAAACTTGTGTTTGATGCTTAGGTCCAACTATTGGGTGTCAGCAGATGTCTATAAAAACAAATTAATAATAGCTGCCACATACTGAAAACAACCAGTATTCTGGACACTGTTCTGAAGCACTTTGCTACCATGGATGGAAGAAGATAAAGAAGTTTTAAAGGTTAGATTTGGGACTTAGATTAGACATATTAATACCAGTACATTAACGTTAAACTCTAAACATTATTCAGAGCTCACAAAAAAAAAAACAAAAACAAAAAAAAACATTGCCATTCAGTCAGTTCCAACTCATAGCGACCCGTATAGAATGAAGTAGAACTGCCCCATAAGGTTTCCAATGCTGTAATTTTTACAGAAGGAGTCCTGATGGCTCAGTGATTAAGCGCTTGGCTGTTAACAGAAAGGTTGACTATTCAAACCCACCAGCCATTCAGTGGGAGAAAGATGTGGTAGTCTTCTTCCATTAAGATTACAGCCTTGGAAACCCTATGGGGCAGTTCTACTCGTTCTATGGGAACACTATGAGTTGGAATTGACTTGACGGCAAGGGGTTTGGGATGTTTTTAAAAATTTTTACAGAAACAAACTGCCACATCTTTCTCCTGGGGAGTGGTTGGTGAGTTCGAACCACTGACTTTTCAGTTTGTAGCTGAATGTTTAACCGTTTTGCCATCAGGGAATGGAGTTCCTGGGTGGTGCAACCAGTTAAGTGCTCAGCTTCTAACCAAAAGATTGGTAGTTGGAGTCCACCCAGAGTGCCCTCAGAAGACAAGCTTGGCAATCTACTTCCAAAAACTCAGCCATTGAAAACCCTACGGAGCACAGTTCTACTCTGACACACATGGGGTTGCCATGAGTCAGAGTCAACTTGACAACAAGTAGGTTTTTCTTTTTTAAATATGCTAAATATTGTAATACGTATTTTATATACATTAATCCATTTATTCTCACAAAAACCTTTTGGTGAATGAAGCCGATTGTTTTCAAGGTGCCTTAAAACCCAAGAACTCTATGTTGCTGCTGCTGTTGCTGCAAGCATCTGTCAAAAACTCTTTCTTACCAGAAACTCACAATGTGTTATTGCCTTGGTCCTAAAATCCGAGGAAAGAAACTCCATGAGGAAGCTGAGATTCTGGATTATGGTCCCAGGCCAGGAGGAAAAGCAGGCATGTTTAACTCCCACACCCACCCTCAAGATTCCCAGGACATAAAGGGAGAAGAAGAACCCACCAACTGGTTTCCTTTGCTCCAGCTGGATCAGAAAGCAGTTGCCCTGTGGCTCACAGTGTTCAGCTAGACCAGCAAGTCTCCTGAAATCATCTCAGCTCCCTTCTCAGTCTTGTTGATCCCTTGGCTCACCTCACACTCTTCATGTTGGAGTCCTTTCCCATCACCTCCATTGTTGCCTGCTGGCTTCTTGTGAGTTTTCATAGCTAAGTGAAATGACACAATTGAAGAGGCTCTGAGATCAAAGTCAGCTATTTGGCTAGCGTGGTGTTATGGATTGAATCGTGCCCTCTGAAAAGGTATTTTCAAGTCCTAACCCCCAGAACCTGTGAATGTGACCATGTTTGGAAATATCTTTCGAGATGTACTTAGTTAATTGGTCAAATTAATATGAGATCATAAGAGTAGAGTGGGCCTTAATCCAATATGACTGGAGTCCTTATAAAAAGAGAAGTGACACAAAGAGGCAGACACAGAGGAAAAATGGTCATGTGAAGACAGAGACTGGCGTTATGCTGCCACAAGCCAAGAAACGCCTGGGGCCACTAGAAGTTGGAGGAGACAAAGACAGATCCTCCGCTAGAGACTTTGGAAAGAGCATAGGCCTGCTGATACCATGAATTCAGATTTTCAGCCCCCAGAACTGGGAATGAATAAATTTCTGTTGTTTTAAGCCACCCAGTTTGTGTTATTTTGTTATGGCAGCCCTAGGAAACTAATACAAGTGGTATAAAAAAATGAGGAATTAGCATTTATTAACAGCCAATTATGTGCCCATCATTCACACCCATTCTACCATTTAATGCTCACAGCATTCTATGAGATAGATATTAGTAGTACCATTTAAAAGGTAAAATCAATGAGGCTGAGAGACTGGCTTGCCTTGGCTCAAGCTTTTTCCATGATGCCTGGCAGCATTTGCCTAAAAGGCAGTGATAGATAAATACCTTGTAGAACAAGCTTGAGGGGGTAGTGGTAGTTCAGTGGTAGAATTCTCACCTTCCATTTGGGAAACCTAGGATTGATTCTTAGCAAATGTACCTCATGCTCAGCCACCACTGGTCTGTCAGTGGAAGCTTTGTGCTACTATGATGCCAAACAGGTTTTAGCAGAGCTTCCAGACTAAGACTAACTAGGAAGAATGGCTTGGCAATCTACTTCCGATAATCAGACAATGAAAACCCTGTGGATTACAGTGGTCCAATCTACAAGTGATCATAGGAATGGCACAGGATGGGACAGTGTTCTGTTTCATTATGCATGGAGTCACCATGAGTCAGCGGCCAACTTGATGACAGCTAACAACAGAGTTAGCTTAGAGGTTTGCTAACTCTGTAAGACCTCAGGCGGGAAAAACACCAGCTGCATTGTTAAACCAAAACCTTATGAGGAAACTATCTGGTGGCAAAAGGGCATCGTGACCAACTAACTTGGCTCAGGGCCAGGAAAGGGTCAGCTGCTGGTCACTCTTCGTCAGGAAATTTTCTTGAACTGAGTGACCAAAGGTACCCAGTGAGCCCCACAGAAGCTTTGGAAACTCTCAGCTGGAGGGGCGGGGATGGTGTTGAGCACTGAGCTTTTTGCTTGGGGGCAGCCGACTGTGAAGCTCTGATCAGAGACGGGGAGGCTGCCACCTCTGCCTGTTACCACTGTTAGCAGGAAACAACAGGCTATGCACGCTGACTGAGATGAGAATAATTCTTTCGGAGATGTGCTTTTTCTTTAGGATTGCATCAGGAGTTGTTCACTAAAGGCCCTTCCACCATGAAAGCCATCAGGATTTGAAGAGCTGTGATGAAAAGCCACTGAAGCACTGCCAAGGTAAGGCCCTGAACCTTCCAGTTTGTGGATCCTCTTACTTCTTTAAGCTGTGCAAATGGTGCTCTAAGGCCTACAGCTAGGAGAACCAGGCAGGAACATTGCCGTGGGTATTATGGATGGAGAAAGAAGGAATTAGCATGATCTGTGCCACAGTGGTGAATAAATTGCCCTATCATTTGTTCATTTTTATTTTAGAGATTTATTTATTTATTTACAAAAAATCATCTATCTAGGGCAGATTCTGCTTCTTGGTATTCCTAAGCTGGAAAAAGCAGTGAATGTGCTACAGAGCAAGGGAAGGACATAGGCTGTGGGGCAGAGAAACAGGGTGGAATCTTGGCTCTGCCAGTTACCAGTTGTGGGCCTAGACGGAAGTTACTTGACCTCTTTACAAGAGAAGGTAGTAGTATCTACTTTGCAGAAATGGTGTAGGGTTAGCCCTAACTTATGGGAGTGTCTGGCTCAAGGCAAATGATTGGGTTGTGGTGGTTGTTGGTTTTTGTTTTATTTTGTTCTGTTTTTTAATTAGGTTGCACCATTTTTCAGACATTCAGGGGTGGGGTGATGAAATAGATTTAATGATGACATGTTTGGCTAAGCGATCTGTTTTACCAAGAACGGCCAACTGTGAAAGGAAAGAACAGTTGATAACATATTTTGAGAGAATTTTTTTTTTTTTTTTTTTAATTCTAAGGCTTTGACAACTTTCTAGTCATTTTCTAATTGGTCATTGATGTCACCCTCAACTACTCACATTACCAAGGAAATAAAGATTTGTGGTAATTGCGCTTCTGTAGTTACATAAAAGAATTCTGTGTAAGTAAATACCCTCCCTTTAGGAGGTAGAGCTTAATTCCTCTCCCCTTGGGTGTAGACTGGGTTTAGAATAAAATATGAAAAGGGAAAATTATAACCTTATAGTGGAGAAAACTGGAGGCACCACCTTAACCAAAATGATCAAGGTTAACACCACCATTGATAAGTCATGTTGCTACTGTGTAACTCCTGACAATAATGCGATCAGAAAGTGATGCGGCATTAGATTGATTAGAATGATGTGGCTTTCTTCCCAAAAACCCATAACCCCAGTCTAAACATCACACAAACCCAAACTGAGGGACATTCTGCAAAATACTTGACCTTTAAACTGTCAAGCTCACGAAAAAGAAGAAAAGACTGAGAAGTCACAGGAAACTAAGGAGGCATGGCAGCTAAATGCAATGTGGTATCCTGGATGGGATCCTGGAACAAAAAAAAAAAAAGACATTAGTGGAAAAACTGGTAGAATGTGAACAAAGTTTGTAGTTTAGTTAATAGTGTTGTACCACTGTTAATGTCTTTATTTTGACAAATGGATCATGGTTAGGTAAGATGTTCACATTAGGGGAAACTGGGTGAAGGGTATATGCGAACTCTCTGTACTATCTTTGTAACTTTCTGTAAGTCTAAAATTATTCCAAAATAAAAAGTTTAAAAAATTATACTTATCCTGCCCTGCAGCAGAAATGGTCAAAATCTGAGCATTTTTAGGAAAAGTGACATTTGAGGTCCAGTGGTCCCCACCCTGTCTTTGAATATTCCAGAAGAACATAGCAGGCCGTTTGCATTTTTTACCATTCTCTCTCCCAGCCGCCATCTTATTCCTGGCTAGCTTTGTTTTCTCTCCCTTTATGAATATTTCTTATCATTCATTTATTTTTACATGTAGCATACATTTTTGAGCTCTCAGTCAGCTAGGAGATATACAACTGAATAAACCTGTCTGCCCAGTAAAGCCCACTGTACTGGTGCAGGCTCTTGGTCCCCACACTCATGCTTAACCACCTCAACCTGATGTTTCTCCAATAAGGAAGTAGGCTGAGAATGGAGGCAAGTGAGGTCCCAGACTCCACATGGAGTATGCCTCCCGCCAGGATGTAATCTGCCATCCTCTAGGCTCAACCAACCACACAGAATCTGTAGCCAGATAAGCATCTGTGAGCTGACGGATAAGAGCTGCTGAAAAACACTTCCTGTTGAGAGAAGCTTTGGTCTGAGGGATGTAGAATAGGTACTCAAAGAGCTAGCACCTGTTTGAGTGATAACCTTGGTCCTAGAGACTGCAGCAGTGGAACCAGGACATCAGCAGCCAATATGCTTGCTTGTAAGGTTCAGGTGTTTCTAGAGATATCAGAAAGAGACAGAGAAGGCTGAACTCCCCACCCCGCCTCACTTCCACCACCAGGCCTCAGTAGAGTATGTGTGTCCTTGTTCAAAGGTGACGCCACACTCAGATTAGAGAAATGCTTTGGAAGCAGATGAGAAAGAAGAAAGAATTATGAAGTCGTAGGAAGACAGCACTTAGATGAAAATCAAAACCAAAGCGTTTTAATTACATCTGGGCCTGAAGTACCTTTCCTGTCACGTCCCCACTGCCAATGCATGTGTTTTGACTACAGCAGACACTTATTGCTAACCCCTTTGCCTGGAATTCCCTCTTCACTTTCTCATCCAGGCAAGTCCTACATGTTCTAACATGCAGGACTAGTTCAAATGTCTTCTCTCCTGTAACCAATGCCGAAATCCATCCCTGTGTTCCCATAAACCTCCAGCACATGCTTAGGGCCTGGATGGTGGCTATTTATTTGCAGGTCTGCCTCCTCCACTGGATCTAAGCTTCTTAGCTGTGTGACCCTAGGCAAGTTACTGAATCTCTTCATGCTTCTGTAAGATAACAGTGGTTTGGCCTCACTATATATAGTAGCCTTGCCTCAGGTATTTTAATTATACCCTCTGAGTCTCTTTCTTTATTGGTTGATAATAGCACATCACAGGTTGTAAGAATTAAATGCAAAATCCCTAAATCTAAGGTGAGTTGAAATGGAAGAGCACACAATATTTCCATTCTCCTAGATCCTACTCAATTCTCCAATGGGAGTAGATAGGGTATATAAGAATCACCAGGGGAGTGCTTGTAGTCTGAAAAGTTGCGTTTAATATGATAATTTTTTTAATTTATTTTGAAATCTCAAAAAAGGAGACCGCGATTTTGTTATTTTCTCAAAAGAGGAAATGAATTTAATAAGATTTAGACATATGAATCTAGATGTTTGGATTTTTCCCCTGAATTAAGCTAGTAATCAGAGAGTTGTGTGTTTGGAGCTTAATGCTTGGCTGTTCTTGGTATCATGTTTACTGAATCAGGTTTGGGTAATCCTTTCTCAACATGGGCATGCCATCCTTGGCTTATGCTGAAGGCTGCTGTGAGAAACAGAGGTAGGAAACTCACTATGAAATTTATTGCTGAGATGCTGTTGAGGCCGTTGTCCACCATTTCACCCAGGACTTCCTCTGCAAGGAGATGCGGGAGAATTTCTCTCAGACTCCAGATAGGCAAAATCCATGCTTCTCTCTAGAAATGGATGTCTTACGGACACTGTGACTCTTCAAACTGATAATTTTCTATCCTATGCTCTGGATTCCAGGAAGCTTAGAGCCAAATTTGCATCTAACCATTAGTAATTGTACAGCATTTCATGGTCTGTATTTCTGTGTACCAGCTGTAGGCCTAATTTTGTTTTTCTGCCTAAACTTACCCTTTGGTCTGATTCTTGCCTATTTTTCTCTTCTATTGTATGTTTCTTCTTTTTTTTTTTTTTTAATAAGTGACCTCAAATCTTTTTGAAAACATGGGAAATGAATAAGTGAAAACAAATACAGGACAGCATTTCTGAAAAAGCCTGGTGCATTGTGTGGGTACTCAATAAGAATTAGTTCTCTTTCCATGTTCAGAACATAGAGAAATTCCTTATTTTCTTACCAAAGAGGTCATCCTATGATGAATCGTATAGCTGGGATTTTATTGTGAATCTAAAAATAGCCTGAGTTTTAACTGCTTATTTTTACAAATACACCATCTTGTATTGCTACAAAGATTATATATAATTATTTTATTTTAAAATTTGTTTTATTTCTTCCATTTCTGTGGTAAAATTAGATTTAAAAAAGTAATTCTCTTAAAAAGTATTGTGCATGAAGATAGGATCAAAAACAACCTTTTTCATAATTTCATTTCGGTGGCTTCTCGAGAAAGTCTGAACTCTCCTTTTTCTACAAATTAACATGAATAAATAATCACTTCTATTCTGTGCTGTCTATCTATCTGATGGTCTCCCTGGCACCTGTTAGTGCAGGGGGGAAGTGTTAGATCAAGATAGGTATCTCATACGCTGAGAGCAGAGACATACTGGTAAATGTTTAACAATCAACTTTCTGAGGGAAACAATGTACACATATATGTTGTTGATAGCTGTCATCGAGTCAGCCCCCAACTCATGGTGACCCCATGTGCAACACAACATGTGCACCATCCCCATGATCAGTTGTAGATCTAACCGTTGTGATCCATAGGGTTTCTATTGGCTGAGTTTTGGAAACAGATCACCAGGCCTTTCTTCCTAGTCTGTCTTAGTCTGGATGCTCTTCTGAAATCTGTTCAGCATCATAGCAACACACAAGCTACCACTGACAGATGGGTGGTGGCTATACGTTAGGTGCATTGGCTGGGAATCAAACCTGGATCTCACTACATATAATTTTTACTGATCCAAAGGACATATAGCACATAATTTTCAAATAACAAAATATACAGTATTCTTTATCATAAATTAGATATAGGAAATTGATTCTCATAGAATGTTTCCATTGACTTTTGTATCCATAGCCAATGGATTGCAATTGATGAACAAGAGTAGTGTTGGTATAAATGTTGATTGATATTTTTGTCTAAGTTAAAGAGTAAGACCAAAATGAAACAATGAAGATGTATACAGGAGCTACTCATTAGTCAATGATGAAATAACTTCCTTGCTAAATAAATTGAATACTAATTTTTAAATACTAAAAAAAAATTTCCTCAATTCTTTGTGTTATTCACAGTGTGGCAGCTACAGATAAGACACACATTTAAATTTAATCTGCATTAATGTTTTCTTCATCACTTTCTTGAGTCTAAAAAATCA